GTAGTGTCGTCAGCGCGGCCGCCGCACCTGAGGGCGCCCGCTGCGCAAACGGCGTAGCGCGAGCGTGGCGGGCGCTGGGAGCGCAGGGAGAGGGCGGGCAGGTGTGTGAGGGCAGGGCCGGCTGCGGGCGGCTCCGGGCGGCGGCACCGGCCCGGCTGTGGGTGCCCACAGCGCCGGCTGGGGGGCCCGGCGGCTGAGGGGGCCCGGGCTGGGCCGGGGGCAGCGCCCAGGGGAGGGGGCCGGGGTGAGGGGGGCAGGGCTGCGGCCCCTCACACCGCGCTCGGCCTCGGTGGGTTTCGCGTCCGCCGAACCCAAAGCCCAGAAGGAGCGGGTTCCCGAGCTGAGCCCAGGAACAGCGTTTCCATGTGGGCGGTTGTGCTCCGTGTGGAACCCTCAGCCATTGTCTGAGCTGGGTAAAATCGAGGCAGCTTTGGGGTGTGCTCGGGCAGGTTGGGCTGCACAAGGGATGTGGGGTTCAGTGATCTCCATCTTTCTCTTCTAGAAATCAAGACAGGTGGGTTCGAGAGAGCTTTCAGCTCCCTGGGATAATTCTTCCCAATCCCAGAACGTGGCTGTGGAGTTGAGGAGCTCCCAGCACTGATGTCCATCAGGCTCCAGAGAAGCCCTGGCAAGGCAGAACCTTTAGGTATGAGGAGGAAGGGATGAATCTGGTGTGTTATTGTGTCTTTGGGTGTGCATTCCCTAGAACCTTTACAGAACTTCGTGTCCCTTCAACATTCCACACGCAAATGGCCGATGCATTCAAACAAGTGCTTGAGTATTTCTGCCAGGTTTTCCAGGTTCAGTGCCTTTTCAAACCCAGCTCTCACCGTTCAGGTGCGTGGCAATCGTGTTTGGTATCACTTTTTACACCTTTCAAAACTGATTTTGCATAGGCTGTGAAGATGAAAGACTGCTGACTGGGGAGCTCTGTTCCCAAATAATCAGCACACAACGTTCTGTGTTGAAGCAGCCCGTGAGGGAACTGTGGCCAAAGGCTGTAGGATCAGGAGATTTGCGGTGCTGAAGTGAAACAGTAACTTTCATTCAAAAATGAAAGTGATTTCAGCATTAGAGTGGAAGGAAAAGCACGTGTGCATTAATAACTTTACATGCAGTAAGAGGTCCAGCTTGTTCCAATTAAACTTATGTTTTGTGTACTCCTTTGCAAGGCTGTGGCTGAAGTGTCACCCTGGTTCTGAACAGTCAGAATAACTCTGCCTTTGTAACAGACTTTTATCTCATCGTGTTTGAGGATTGAAAGGAGAAACAAATATGAGGAATATCAGTTACTGCTTTCATGTCTTGAATTGAGAGATTTCAAAGCAGCGAATGAGTTTAGTCAAAATCTCCTGTGTGACCTTAAAATACCAGTGTGGGCCTTGAAAAGAGATAGAAGATAACAGATAGAAATCAAGGACTTGTCCAAGGACTTCACATGAGAATGTTTTTGTTTGAAATTAGTTACAGGAAATAGAAACACAGCACAAATGTAGCCCCCAGGAAGGCAGCTGAGAGAGATGGTGGGATGGGAAGGGGCAGCTGTGAAATGAGTGGCTGTGCAGCAGAGCTGGAAATGTAGTGAGGAGGGAAAACCTGCAAGAGATGGCACCTCAGGTAGTGAAGTTATTGCAGAGGTAAAAGAAAGATGTTTTCAGCTGTGGTCTGAGTGAAGTCTTGAATTCTTCTGTTGAGTTCTCCCTTGGGCTAATGATTTGCCAAGGGCAAAAACACAGAGGAAAGGGGATTGATGGATTAATTTAGAATACAGGGGATTGAAAGAGCTTTGGCACTGCAGTACAAGGATATAAATTTAACAAGGAAAAGAACATCTGAGGTTTGGAAAAAAGTTAACATCTGTCTTTAGGCTTCATGGAATAAAAAGGAAGAAAATTGAATTTATAGCTCTAAGTATAGTCAATAAGAGATAGGGATTGAATTGTGCCAAAAGCACCCGAAATTAGAGATACCTTGATGAACGTTCAAAAAATTAACAATAATTGTGCTCTTTCTTGGTACAAAATACTGGCATAGAAAGAATTATTTTTTGAATATATAACTATGGTGGAAATAATGTGTGTTTCCTACAGATTTTTTTCACAGGGATAGTTAAGACACTGTCATGTATTTTTGAGTGTTACCTGCATCCCTTGGACAAATGGGGGAATCCCAGAGGCTGGAGAGATGTGTGGAAAGGGAATTCACAGTTAAATTCTGAATACTGCACAGTGCCTTGTCCTGTCTCTTTGTGTCTCCTTACTGGCTGGATCAGGTCAGGATGGTCTGATTTAAGCACTATAGAGTGTTTATAGTGGAATAAAACAGATCTGAGATGTCAGTGTGGAGACCAGGAGTGGTGGCTGAAGACTATTATTTCACTGATGGTTACTGACACGTTAAATGTAGAATTATTTTGTAAAACAAACTTCTTTTCCTGGACTGATTTTCCTGCTTGTAGACCTCACGCCAGATTGTGCTGTGTTTGATAGATGTGATACAGAACTTTGGTTACCAATATTAAATAAAACGCAGAGAGGCAAGGCAGGAGCTGGTATAAATGACCAGCACGTGAAAGCTGCTTTCCCGGGCACCAGATAACCCCCGAGAAGCAGGGGGACCCTTTCCAAATCTGTTGGTAGGTACCTGTTTAAGCTGGAGCGAGGCGGGCACTGCCTGGGCAGGGGCAGCCCCTCGGGGGGCACCTTAGCACCACATTAAGGACTAAATGGCTGTTAATGCGGTGGGAACGGGGAACCGAAACCCAAGTGAGCAAGGGTGAAATGCAGCCGATCACATTTCAAGTGGTTGGTATTGTTTACAGACAAGTGGGAATGCTCTCGTAGTGCCCGAGGGAAGGGGGATCTTTTCCTTGTGATAACTCAGAAATCTCTGTTTGAGACTCGCTATTGTCCAGTGACCGAGTTCTTCACGGGTTTCGAATTCTGCCTTTAGACATGTGCTGAAGTTAATGGGATTTGTGCACAGATAGCTGAGGACAGACTTTGAATTGGAAAAAATAACTGTATGAGCATGTCTTTTAAAAATCTTCATAGGAAAAGCTGGCTTTGCGTGGGAAATTAGTCTCATAAGCTTGGCAAGGACTTAAAATGAACAAATAATTGGGAGAATTTGTAAAGGAACTTACTTGACTTTGCATCGTTCCCAGGTGTTGGAATTTGCCTTGGATTGTGTACATTTGATCCCAGCTGTTATGGGTTTCATTTCATTCTGCCTTCATTTCTGTTTGGCCCAGGGCTTCTAGATGGTTAATCTGTGGCATGATAGGGCAAAGAGTTTTATTCTGAAAAATGCTTACAAGATATGTATTCCCTTTTATTTTAAGGTATATCTTGGGCATAGAATGAGAGAATCAAGCAAAGGAGTATCCAGTGTAGAGGGTACTTAAAAATGGAGAATTAGTGCTGTGAAACAAAAGCTGACCTGGGTAAATCTGGCAGTCACTTGTGTACATAACTCCTTACCGAGAGTTTTACACAGGGCTTGCTGATACCTGATACAATCCTGAATGATTGTTTGACTAGAGCAAAGGAGATAAAATGGTGCTAGAGGAAAATCAGACCCTAGGAGAGGAGGAATCACACCACAGAATGTCACACAGGGCTCTTCTGGCCCCAGAGGAGGCTCTGTGGGGAAACATTTCGGAGATCCTTTTAACGATAGGGACAAGGATGAGCTTGAAAAGCAAGCAAAACTGGAACCAAGGAAATGGGAAATACTTTCAGGTTATGACTAATGCAATTATTAGAGAGGCTACAGCAGGCACTGTGGTGGATTTAGCTTCAAATAAGAACAGAAGTTATGCCATGTGTGATTGATTCCAGGTTGGGTTACAATTTAGAAGTGCAATTAGTGAGTCATCTGTTACTTTATATCAATTATTAAAATCAACAAAGGTCTAGGTTAAAAAAGAGAGTGCATGCCTCAATATGTGCTGCTCTGCTTGTTAATTTTCTGATTTCCCTTCTTTGTTTGATGTGTCTCAGCTGTGCAGAGCTGTGGCACAGAGTGTTCCTGAAGCCAGCCCATGAATTGCTGTAGGGTGAGGCAGCCTCACCTCACAGCCAGCCCACACTGGCTTGGTTTGGGCAGAGCCAGCCCAAGGGCAGCTGTCTGGAGTGAGCCTGCAGGTCAGCAGTGCCTGAA